TGATAAAAATTATATAACAAATGCAATATTTGTATATCTCTACTGTAAAGCTTTGCCTTAACATTAAATTTACTTTCCAACCTTCCCACCAACTCCAGATAGCTTCATTGCCCGTCCTAATTCATATTTCGAGCCAGGTGCTGCCATCGTCCGAGGACCCGTGTTTCAAGCCACCTGCTGCCATAATTAGAGTTCCCAGGCTGAGTTCCATGAAAAAGCGCCATATTTCGTCTATAAACAAACACGTAGTTGCATTCTGCTAATTCGTCTGAATTTGGGAAGTAAACAATGCCGATCTTTTGGAGAGGATAAGCCAAATCCCCACTTTTTGTTGAAATTTTTTGGAAGACTGACGGAAGGATGGGAGAGAGTAAAAGGATACCACTTGACCAAGTAAAAGGAGTGCAGCTTGAAGAAGATAACATAATATTTTGTTGTTCCCCAGTGTCTTCAAAGAAGTACAGCCTAATAGCTTCGTCGACGGAGAAAGAGGGGTGTTTACAAAGTAAGAGTCCTCTTCTCTACCAAGATTTTTTATACAAGGGCACCTCCTGCCAGTTATCTTGTATAATAACGCTCTTGGCTTGCATGCTGAACATACAACTTATAAAGGAGTCACAGCAGAGAAAAACCGTTAACCTCTAGGCAAACCACTATGTTAGGCCACAACTCTTCAACAAAAGTTTTGTTTTTCTTCAGTAGAAAATTTTGGTTCAAATGATTGTCGGGAAGAGTGTGTGATAAAATTTTTCGACAAACACTTATTTATTATTTTCTATTTTTATTTATTTATTATTATTATTATTATTATTGTTGTTGTTGTTTTGTTTTACTGTCTCAATATTCCCTTTAACTTTTATATTTCTCTAATGTGACTCACATATAATATTGACCTCTGTTGAACTGATTTTATCCATGACACTAATCCCTAACCCTAATCCTAAAATAATTAGAGGAGGTAATTTTCCTGGTTAAATGTAGTTTTTTTCTTATAATAATATCTAATATTATTGTATTTTATAAATTCACTATTGTTATTCATGCAACAGATATAACAGTTATCAAAAAATAAAAAAAATACAAAGCGCCCAATACTCAATAATAAGAATATCTAAAATTCATATTTGTTTGTATGTATGCATATGGTTAATTGTTTCTGTTACTGCAATAATATTAAAAATTATTTGATGTTAATAACTAAAGTGTTCTTTGAGAATATAGCTAAAAAATTAAGAAATTGAAGAGTTGTCATGTCTGAAGTTATACTTATACTTGATTGAAATTAATCTCTGAAATTAGATCATATATGCATTAGCAAGTAATTTTAGACAAGTGTGACTTCAGGCAAGTATTAACTTCAGACATGAAATATTCATGTAAAATATATATATTTAATTGTGTAAAATAATCCACAACCACTAGGTAAATTCTTTCATATTCACTAAGAAAAAATCTGTTAGGCATCTTTAAACTATCAATAGACAAATACAATAAATCAGCAAATTTTTGAATGTTGGAATAAGAATAATATAGAGAAAAGGTTTAATGATGGTTGTAACTATTTATCTAACAAAAAATGATAGCCTAAAAATATATACATTTCACATATTAACATATTCAGATTTTGGCATTTCATGTTAAATTTGATATTAAGTTGTACATCAAAATAAAATTTCAATGATTATGAAATAGTATATATTACAACATATCTGATTTGACTCTGTTAGTTAAATATAGTGATAGGACTATTGAATTATTAATTCATGATTCGCCTATAAACGATAGTTTTATATAGTAAAAGTTGGGGTTGATTTAATATAAGTATTATAATATAGTCACCAATCTCACTTCACCCAATAGTAAAGTCATTTTTCTACCATGTCAACCACTTTTCAACTTCTAATAAAAATTGTAAAGCTAATTTTTCTGGTTCTAGTGGTGGTAAACCCATTAAAATTGGCCTGGTAGTTCTTGAGATATCTTGATTTTTCTTCTTGTGATCATATAAAATTTCTTTACTATTTTGTAAAGAAATTTTATATGATTGCAAGAAAAATTAAGATATCTCAAGAACTACCAGACCAATTATAATGATTTTACCACCATTAAAATCAGAAAAATTAGCTTTACAATCTTTATTAGAAGTTGAAAAGTGGTTAACTTGGTGGGAAAATGACTTTACTATTGGGCGAAGTGAGATTGGTAGCTATATAAAATATTTATATTAAATCAACCCCAACTTTTACTATATAAAACTATCATTTATAGGCGAATCACGAATTAATAATTAATAATTATTATTAACTATTTTGTCGAGTTATTAACTAAAACCTACTTAATAATGTGAGTGCAGTTAATCAACCAAAAACCATCTAAAAAGTGTTATAAAAATATATTCAAAAATAAACTATCTACGTGTTGGAATAGCTTCTTCATTTAGAATCAAGAATATCTGCATTTTTGGATAGTTATTCGTTATTTATGAATATATTTGTCATTATCCTCTATTTAATTTTTTGATTTCATTTACGATTTTTTGTAATGACAAATTTTTAACAATGATTGAAATTATTAATTATTATTATTATTATTATAATTTATTATTAATTTTTTATTATTAACTAAAAACTCGAAGGTCCCATCACTAGTTAGAAGGTTCATATTTCACTTAATAAAGTGGAATTAAAATTAACTCAAAATTAAGCAGCACCGAATCAAATTATTTTTATATAAATTAAAGGGAGTTGTTATTGCCACCTCCCAATTTGTTAGTGCCACCCCACAAAAATAAAAATTTAAAAACTTTGAGCGAAGATATATTGACAACTACCTGCTTGAATCTGATAAAACCTTTTAGATTTGAATTCTACGGATTCATAGAATTCAAATAAAAAAATTCTATCGAATTTAGCCATGTGGTTGTCAAGATATCTTCGTTCAAAATTAGAAACAAATCAAAATGCCTATCAAAATAATCAAAATAGAAGCTGCGCCAAATTTCTTTCTAACTTTGAGCGAAGATATCTCGATAACTATCTGACCAAATTCGATAAAACTTTTTTATTTGAATCCTATAGATTCATAGAATTCAAATAAAAAATTTTCATCGAATTTAATCGAGTGGTTATCGAGGTATCTTCGCTCAAAATTAAAGAAAAATAAAACGCCTATCAAAATATAAATTTTCTCTCTAACTTTGACGAAGATGTCTCGTTAATGATCTGTCCAAATTCAATAAAAATTTTTATTTCAATTCTATGCATTTACAAAATTTAAATAAAAAATTTCATTGTATTTAATCAAGTGGATGTTGAGATATCTTCGCTCAAAGTTAGAAAGAAAATTTGTCGTAGGTTCTATTTTGATACGCATTTTGATTTTTTCTTTCAGCGAAGATATCTAGACAAACACTTGATTAAATGCGATGAAATTTTTTATTTGAATTCCATTAATCCATAGAATTTAAATAAAAAGTTTATCGAATTTGGTTAGATAGTTAACGAAATATCTTCGCTCAAAGTTAGAAAGAAAATTTGGCATAGCTTCTATTTTGATAGACAGTTTGATTTTTCTTTAATTGTGAGTGAAGCTATCTCTGTAACCCTTGACTAAATTTAATAATAATTTTTTTATTTGAATTCTATATACCCGTAGAATTCAAACAAAAAAGTTTTATCGAATTTGGTCAGGCGGTTATCGAGATATCTTCGCTCAAAGTTAGAGAAATTTTGCGCAATTCCTACTTTATAGGCGTTTTGATTTTCCTCTAATTTTGAGCGAAGATATCTCGACAACCACATGGCTAAATTCGATGGATTTTTTTTTTATTTGAATTCTATGAATCCGTAGAATTCAAATCTAAAAGGTTTTATCAGATTCAAGCGGGTAGTTGTCGGTATATCTTCGCTCAAAGTTTTTAAATTTTTTATTTTTGTGGGGTGGCACTAACAAATTGGGAGGTGGCAATAACAACTCCCTAAATAAATCATATATTTGATAAATATATTCAACATATTTACTTGAATTTGAAAATATTCTCCCAATGGTAGCAAAATATCTTTTGCTTTTTGAAATGCCAGTTCATTTTTTATACCTGCCTAATAATTATAATAAATTTGTATATAAGAAAGTACATTAAAATTAAATTTAAAAAATCAAAATTCTTACCATATGCATGGCCAATGCAACTGGAAGATAAAAAGAATAAAATGCCGTTTTATACAATACAATATATTTATATCTATAGTGAATAACTAATATAAGTAACTATATAATAATTGCAAATATTTGACGTAGATATTACTTTTCCATAGAAAATCTGTTCAAATCAACATTATCCTCGGGTGCGGTTATCAAATCAATTAACTGACCCAATTCAGTGTCTAAGGTAACCTTTGAAAGATAATACCATGAATAAATAGGGTTATTAATATTTAAGTTTAGTCAAAAAAAGTATAATAACCTAAATCTTTTTCCTATGATTTAAAAATATCTTACCTCATGAAATAATTCTAACAAATCAACATAGTAGGGTTCTTGACGAAAATATTTTTTCAAAAAGAAATAAATTGAAGATTCCAAAATAAACGAATCATTAATTGCGATAGTGCCAACTCCTTCCTATAAAGAACAAAGATAGAAAGGATCGTTAAGATAAACAGCATTAGTATAATAATGAATGCTTAACTGATACTACTTACCATTTTATACCAGCAAGGATTTCCACGACGTGTAATAGAGGCATCCATGATATCATCAGCAACGAGGAAAAAAGCTTGTAGCTAAAAATCAAAATTTCCAAATAAATTTTTTATACAATGTTACCTAAGTTACTTAATGCCGTAGAACATTACCCATTCCACACACCATCCGAGAACTCTCGCTTTAAAAAGGTCTTCAGCGGAAGCTTCAGCACCTTTTAAAATTTTAAGCGAATCGACCACGGACATGCCACGATTCATTTTTCCTATAAAACAAACTCGATTAATAATATAATATAAATTTAACCATTAAAAACAATAAATGATTTCTACCTCCGCAAACATTATGATAAAGGTTCTAATTAAGATAGTTATAGTGAATACTATTGAACAAAAATTATAATTCCTTTTATAAAATCGAAAAGAGTATAAACCTTTCTAATCCATTCAGTTGCTTCCTCTGGAAGTTTTCGAGAATTCACATTTGCCAAGAATTCTTCAGCGAGTATGGCAAAAACATCTTCAAAATCCTTTTTAGCTTGTGCTTTTGCGTCTGAGGAAGCCATTTTCCTTTAAACTCGACAACGTTATTCCAAACCAAAAGTAAGGAATGGCGATAGGTATATTAGAATTTCGAACGTTTTCATATAAGATCATCGTTAGATCTACCAATGGACGAAAAATTTTTGAAATGATTAATAATCAAGTGATATAAAATAAGGTTACACTATACGTATCAAAAATATTATCTATATCATTAACATTTTTGATTGGATCAGAACCGAAAAATGTGATATGAAACGTGATCTAAGTGGGAAAATTAATTAATTATTACGACATTTGTTATGCGGATAACCGAAAAAGACAAAATTATTTGTCGCGGATGATGGTGAAATTGGATGATCGTGAAATCTGGGGGCCTTAATTTAAAAATATAAACCCTACT